CCAGTGGGGGAAAAGGGGACATCTGTGGAACCTTCTATTCTATTCAACATAAATCCACCTTCTACTCCAATGAGGTCACCAACTCAAGAATCTTGGTTTTCCAGCATGAAAAGATTTCCCCCCTCCATGGTTATTTATTTGCTTCTCTTTGCAGCCTCTTACAGGAACTTGCCCCAAGCTGGACTCAAACTATATGGTACGTTCCAAGTCAGGGGATTAATTTATGCAGGTCTTCCATATGGCTTAATTTATAATAATCACAAAACTGGACCTGAATTAAAAGGGAGCCACAGACTGAGGTGCGGTAAGAAATCTTTCAACCCATTTTCCAACAGATCCCTATGAATTATTGATGGTTGCACACTCAGCCAGATGTTTAGACTGGATTTGGCATTTTTATCCGCCTATCGAGTCATTCCCAAAGATCTGGGAATAGGAGGCTGTTGTTTGATATTACAGAGGTGGGTTCGGACCGGTTCAGCTGAACCGGTAGTCACTTGACGGCCTGGGTCGCTGGAACCGTCAGTGACCCAGGCCTGCCACGCCCCTGAACCGGTTCTCCCACAGGACTGCTATCTTGTTTTTCAGTTCTGCGCATGCACAGAACAATTTTCAGTGCAAACCCCCCCCCCCATTTTTAACGGTCATCCCAGGATGTTAGCTGATCAAAATAAAGCTGCCTTTTGCAATTGACTGCTGGTGATTTTTGTCAATGCCAAAGGTGTGCAACTTTATTTATTGATGTATTTTTCTTTCCTTCTCTCTCCTTTTTTTAAGGATTTACTCTATAGGTCTGACAACATTTACTCTGAAATCAAGAGATAATAATACTATTGCTGAGAGATTCCTGATTCTCGTGTCATCTCGGATAATGGCCCATCCAAAAATGTTGGGATAAAAACCATATACTGCCATCCAAATATTTCTATCTTTATGGGATCAAAGACTCTTTCTCTGCTGGACTGCGAATATAGAAAATGACTTTAACCTAGCGTTAAATCCAGATTTTATTGAACCCAAGACTGTCCCTTGATGGAAAGGAGTCAAAACGAATTATCAGTTGGCCATCATCTTTCACGCAAAATGTGGGCTAGGATTTAGAAGATCTACAGGGATGGAAGAAGAAATGGACAGCCGAGGCTGTCGCTCAATACAGACCTCATTGGGGGTTGGACTAGAAGACCTCCAAGGTCCCTTCCTGCTCTGTTATTCTGTGATCGTGCAATTCTTCTAAAAATTCTGAGGACCCCAAATAATTCACATACAGAGAAAAAGCTCTATTCTCTCCAGATGTGTCTGTGTCTGTGTGTTTGTGCAAATCTTGCATAGATGTTCAGCTGACCTCAGCTTTGAGACTACATGTTCAGCCTAGAAGATGGGCTTCTTGGAGATAACCAGAGAGTGATGAGGACCTCTGAGGACCTTTGAGGTTTTCACCAATGGTGCTTTTCTATCTCCAAGAGGAAGCATCTTTAATTCCATCATATGTCTGCAGCAGAGATATCTTTATCTCCAAGAGGAAGCATCTTTAATACCATCATAGGTCTGTAGTAGTATATTGGTTCAACAACTTTTAAAGCAGAGATTGGATGACCATTTGTCTGAAACGATATATGATTTCCTGCCTGAGCAGGGGGTTGGACTAGAAGACCTCCAAGTTCCCTTCCGACTCTGTTATTCTGATCACCGTTCCTTCCTTAAGATCAAACTGCCGTATTCTGACTTCTACATCTTGATCACGACTGAACCTTTCCCCACATTCAGTTTGCATGCTCCAGAGCGTTTACTTCTGAATTTTTCTTTTAGTGGATTGGCTCATGATCAGTGCTCGCAATATGAAAACTTCCCCAAAGAAACCCGTCCTCCTATCCCTGGGCTTGTTCCCAAAACTGGAACGCATCCAGCGTGGGGCGCATCATTAAAATGCAGGCTGCGCCTTGCCAGTTCTCAGGACTTTGGAATGCATGCCTGCCTTTAAGAACAGGTTGTCAACAGGCAGAAATTATGAAGGTGCAGCTGGGCCGTTCTTGTTTTTTTTTCTCAGCCTGGAAAGAGGGAGGGAACTGTTTTCTCTGCATCGGGAAATTAGGTCGTTTGTTCTTAAAGGCCCAGCTGAGCACCAGCACAAAAAGAGAAACCTTGGCAGTAGAATAACAGAATAACACAGTTGGAAGGGACCTTGGAGGTCTTCTAGTCCAACCCCTTCTTGGCAGCCAAGAAAATGAACTTGGAATTTTTGCAAGATCGGATCTGGTAGCCTGAATTTTCATGTATATAAAATATCAAAAGAAGCAACAGTGTTTGAATATTTCCCGTATATGTTTACAAGAAGCTTAAATAAAATACTGATGAAAGATTGTAGAGGCAGAATTGTGTAAGAGGAAAAGGCTGGGTCTTGTCATTATAAATAAATGAGCACATCTTGTAGCAAAAACCCCTGTGTAAATGTTATATAGAGTCAGTACGGTCCAGTGGTGAAGGCACCTGGCTAGAAACCAGGAGACTGTGAGTTCTAGTCCCACCTTAGGCATGAAAGCCGGCTGAGTGGCTTTGGGCCAATCACCAGGAGACTGTGATTTCTAGTCCAGGCCTTAAGCATGAATCCTCACAAGGGTGGTTCTTATGGGGAAAATAGGAGGAGGAAGATTAGATATGTTCGTCACCTTGAGTTGTTTATAAAAAGAATAAAGTTGGGAAATAGATAAAACCCCTGGAAAGGAAGACATATGTGTAGAAAGAGTTGCCACACAGCGAGATGTGTGGCAAACAAATTTAACAAATAATAAAATAAATGTCCTAAAAATGTCCTAATTGATTCATGTCTGTATGTATAGGTATAGGATATTTCCCTATACTATGTATAGGAAAGATGAAATGCCCATTTATATATACATTGTGTTTACAGATAAGGAAAGCAGAGTTGACGTCAGAGTTGGTTGCATAAATTCAAATCCAGAAATCACACACAGATAACTGATGCAGCAGGATTCATTAACTTTCTTATATTCATAAGAATAGAGGAATAAATGAACAATACCAACAGGTGGTTCTTCCGAGTAAACGCAAGGCAGGAGAGTTACAGGCAAACACACGGAGTTAGTTTCATTTCAGCAGACAAGCCCAGACAGACTGCTAAGTTTACTTCTCAGAGCAGCAGGCTGCTTTCTTCTTAAGTTTCTGTTTCAGTTCTCTGCACAGACTCAGATCTGTTTAAGCTCCCATTGGCTGGCTTAGTGGCTATGCCTATTCATCGGTTGACCTTGTTCCCACATCTCTCCCAGTCATGAATATTTTAACAAAACGTGGATTGAATAAACATATTTTCTTTCCCCTCCACCGATCATCTGGAATGTTTTATTGGATTCTCTCTCAGCTTGGGCCCGCATCGCAGGAAAGGTTGGTCTTTGACCTTCTGAGAACAGCAAAAATTTCACTCACAATTGAGTTTGCAAAGTCACAAAAGTCCTCCTAGCTATTTGCGCGAGCACATTTTTCTCTCCAGCTCCGGGGACTGTCGACTTGCAGGCTTGAAACTCAACTCTTCCTTGCTTGCACTTCTGATTGCGGTATTTGCAAAAGAAAAGAAAAAGTTGCAAAATGTTCTTGTAACTGCAAGGGATGGCATGTTTTTTTTTAACTACCTGAATTGGCAAACTAGTGGTTTTGTGAGCCAATGCTTGCAATGTGCTAAGGCTCGAATTGAGAAATGATCGAGAAAGTCTCTGTTATATTGCAGCTCAAACCTCAACTCATTGCTGGCTAGAAAGAGGGAAAAATATGTCTTATTTCTACTACTACTATTCTTTCTCTTGTTCTCCGAATAGGGCCAGGAATGTTGCAAAAAAGATAATATAGGTAGTCCTTACAACCCAAATTTCTGTTGCTAAGTAAGACATCTATCTGTTCAGTTTATTTTTTACGACCTTTCGTGTCACCATTGTTAACTGAATCACCGTGGTTCTTAAAGATTGTTAAGTGAGTCTGGTTTACCCATTGGCTTTGCTTGTCAGAAAGTCACATGACCCCGGGACACTGTAACCGTCATAAATATGAGTCATTCCCCAAGCATTTGACTTTTGATCATGTGACCCTGGGAATGCTGCAATGGTTGTTGAAAAATGGCCATGTCCCTTTTTTCAGTGCCATTGCATAACTTCGATCGGTTACAAAATGAACTGTTGTAAGTCGAGGATTACCGATAGAAGGGTTAAAACAAGGAGAGGTTAGGAGTTGAATTTCCAGCAGTTGTAAATTACATTGCAAAACCTTTTGGGATGGTAGTTTAATAATCTCTCAAGGTAAATTCTCCCTTCCCCCATAAAGCATATGCAATACAGAAATGTTCATTAAAAGACCCAAAAATTCTTCATAGACAGTTGTTTCATTCAAGTGGGGAAAAAAACACGTTTTATTTTGAACAATGTAAAAATGTATAAAGGATATCCAGGGATTTTTCTGTTGTGTTCCAAACTGGATAACCTCACATCAACTTTCCAAAAAGATTCAGGTGCTTAATACAAAATGTTATAATATTTTGATTATGTGGCATCATTTTTTGACTCCAAATTTATTTATTCGCTGTTTTGTAGGTTGCGAACACTCTCAAGTTTTAAAGTTGAGAATGACGTAGGTTTTGTCCATTTAAACACAAAATAAACTAAGCTAATACACAGGTTTGAAGAAAGTTGAGCTTCAAAAGAAATCAGCATCAGATCAAGCTTAATATCGAAGCACAGAGCAGCTCAGCTTTACACACGCAGCCGTGGGATAATTTGTGTGCCTCTTCTCTGCAAATATCTGCAGAAAGATTTAGTGGGGAGAAAGCAAAATATTAATTAGACAATATTATTCAGGACCAATTAGGCAGCGATTTCGGTCCTTAAGCCAATAACAACAACAACAACAACAATAATAATGCTATTTTATTATTGATAAAAGTGTTTGCAATTAAAATGAGCATTGTAATTAATAAGAAATGTGAAATATAATTCTAACATTAAGAGAATGATCTCTTTCGAGAAAGGGAAGTCAATGGCTTAGCTCAGTTGGAGATCCCCAAAACTATATCCTATTATCCCAAAGAGGGACCGGTTCAGAATCATCTAATGAACTTCCATAGTTGTGGGAAGAACCCGAGTCGCTCTTACTGCAATTTGGCAGTTTGATGTTCTGATCCAGGTTTCCTTAGAAAGCAAGAAGCAAAGTTTTGTTTCTGACAAAACCTTTTTTATTTACACGACTGTGAATTCCTTTCATTCACAGTCAGCAAGGCTTTAGCAAACAGTCTTTCATAGGAATGTTTATCCACACGCACCGCATCTCGCTTGGAGAGCTGCCAGATAACTAGTTTCCAAAATTGGCACAGAGTCTCTTACAATCACCAACAGAACGTTCCGACTCTTGACACGACCGAAGGAACGAATTGTTTCCTGCAAAAGCCCCCACCCTGTTCGCTCCTCTTTTGTTTCCTATGGGAGGGGCCAATCACCTTCAAGGTGTGGCTTAACTCCTAAACTGACCTTGCTTTCTTCGTTGTTCTTGCCTTCCGGCAGCTCTGCAAATCTGCACACTGGGAACAGGTTCCAGCTGTTCCTCTGCCTCATTGCTGTCCAGCTCTCTCTCTGCCTCTGATTCAGAGTCCTCGTCTGAGCTTTCCTCACCCCTCAGGGCTGGCCCATGTTCCTCCCCAACCTCCTCACTGTGTGACTCTGTTGCCAGCTCTGCACTCTAATCTCACCAGGCTCAAGGTTGGCTCAGCCTTCCATCCTTCTGAGATTGGTAAAATGAGGACCCAGATTGTTGGGGGCAAGAGGCTGACTCTGTAAATAGCAATAGCAGTTAGACTTANGAATTCCAAGGCTTGACTGGCCAGGCCACCATCCGCCTTTCAAGCTTCAATTAGTCCGCTGCATTTTGGGAGATTTGCGTTCCAGGAAACAGCAGGCCGGCGGAGAAAATGGAGGTTTTTTATAAACACTTTTCCTTGAGAGGTAAGTGATTGAGCTGGGAAGAATAGAATTGGAATTAGAATAGGATAGGATAGGATAGGATAGGATAGGATAGAATAAAATAAAATAATACAGAAGAGAATAGAATAATACAGAGTAGATTAAGACAGAATACAATAGAATAATGCAGAATAGAATAAAATAAAATGAAATAGAATAGAATAATAGGGAACAGAATAGGTTAGAATAATACAGAGTAGAATAATATAATACAGAATAGAATAAAAACAGAACAGAACAGAATAGAATAAACAGAGATGGAAGGGACCTCAGAGGTCTTCTAGTCCAACCCCCTGCCTAGGCAAGAAACCCCATACCATTTCATACAGATGGTTGTCTAATCTCGGGCCGGCCCTTTGCTGTTTCTAGGGCGGCCCGCGGGCCAGATCTAAGCACCCTGTGGGCCAGATCTGGCCCCTGGGCCTTGAGTTTGACACCCCTGCCTTATACAATTCTTTCTCTGTTCTCCCGACAGCCTGTTTCCTAGCCCTGTGGATTATTCTGGTCCAAGCAAGCAGGCTCCATATTGTGTCCATCCCGGAGACCCCCGCCGAAGGCCAGAATGTCACTTTCTCTGTGGAAAGAGTGCAGGGCAACATCCGTGAGGTCAACTGGTACCGAGGGATGGCCTCTCAGGGGTCTACAAGGATCTTCACCTTTTTCCCTAGAAACCCCCGTCCTCAGCGCAACGGGGTTCAATTTACCAACAGAGAATTTGGTTTCCACAACGGCTCTATCCAGATCACTGGGCTGAAGCCCAGTGATGTCGGCCAGTACAACGTTGTGATTATACTGCGGCCCCAAGAAATTCTCAACGCCTCCGTTGAGCTCCGGTTGGGTAGTAAGTACGGGTCCTTGACTTATATAGCAGTTTGTTTAGTAGCCATTTGGAGTTACAATGCCCCCCTAAAAAATGACTTATGACCATTTTCCATATGATTATGACCATTGAATTCTGGGAGTTGAAGTCCAACCATCTTAAAGCATGCCGGCTGGGGAATTCTGGGAATTGAAGTCCTCCTATCTCTCTGGAGAATTCTGAGAGCTGAAGTCTACTCGTCTCAAAATACTCTAGCTGGGGAAATCTGGGAGTTGAAGTCGATCTGCCTCGGGAATTCTGGGAGCTGAAGTCCTTCCATCACAAAATACCCTAGCTGGGGAATTCTGGGATTTGAAGTCCACCCATCTCAAAGTACCCTAGTTGGGGAATTCTGGGAGTTGAAGTCCACCCATCTCAAAGTACCCTAGCTGGGGAATTCTGGGATTTGAAGTCCACTGATCTTAAAATTGCTGAGATTGAACAACACTCATCTCAGAGTTGAAGTCCACTCATCTTAAAGCATGTTGTCTGGGGAACTCTGAGATTTTGTCCATCTATCTGTCTGGAGAATTCTGGGAGCTGAAGTCCACCCATCTCAAAGTACCCTAGTTGGGGAATTCTGGGAGTTGAAGTCCACCTTTCTTAAAGCATACTGCCCAGGGAATTCTGGGACTCGAAGTCCACTGATCTTATAATTGCTGAGGGTGAACAACACTCATCTCAGATGCAACCAAAATTCTCTCCCATCTAGGACACCTTCAAAGCCTCGATGGCTATTGTGGGGGTCAGGAATGGTTGGCCCTCACCCCTCTCTCCTTATTTCCATTCTAGCACCATCTGTGGCCACGTCGACAGCAACTACGGTGACCACAGCAACAACCACAGGGACCTCACCCCTTATGGAAGTTCCCAAGGAGCCTTCGAAGTTGGGCTGGATCGTGGCCGGAGTGCTTGTCGGCGTTTTGCTATGCGGGGCACTGGTAGCCATTATGGTTTACCGGTTTGTTTTACAGAAATCCGAACACAGCACAGGGTAGGAGTTTCCCCACTTCCCCCTCTCTCCCCTTTTCCCGCACTCCCCCCCCTCCACCCAGTTCAGGTGTGATTCTAATCAGGTCTTTAAATGTTGAAATTCGAAATTACAGGGTAGTTAAGCAAGCGTTGCTGGGATTCAGGTCAGAGGGGGAATTATGCCTTTCAGGTTCGGTTCCAGGAAGGAGTAGTGCCCCCACCCCACCCCCACCCCCACCCCC